GAGTTCACTCTGCCTCCCAGGCTAGAGTACAGTGGCACGATCTCAGCTCACTGCAACCTCCACCTCCTGGATTGAAGCAATTCTCTGCCTCAGCTTCCCGAGTAGCTGGGATTACAGGCACCCACCACCACACTTGGCTAATTTTTGTATTTTTAGTAGAGATGGGGTTTCACCATCTTGGCCAGGCTGGTCTGGAACTCCTGACCTCATGATCCACCCACCTCAGCCTCCCAAAGTGTTGGGATTACAGGCATGAGCCACTGTGTCCGGCCATACAAATCTTTTTAATGTCCCTGGCTTAAAAGAATACAGTTGGATTCTGTGTTGCAGCATCAATTCTGTTGTTTTGATTGAAGATCAATCTTCAATCTTATGTTTTAATATTAACAAAATCCAGCCTCATACCAATATGTAGTTGGAAAAGGTAGGAACATTTTTAAAAGTCTTTTCAGAAAACTGTGGGTATTACTCTTTGATACTACACCAAAACTTGACAAGTGGCAGTTTCTTAAGGGTTAGCTGCAATGTAGAATCTGAAACACTTGCAGTTAAAGCTCTGTACTCTGTTCCATTAAAATTCATTGATGTATCTTGTACTTTGAATGGATCTTTTATCCATGTATGAATTTAGAACATCATACTTGTTAATCTGGAAAATAATGGCGCACTGAGTTATACTGACCTTCCAAATGCTGACACATGTCATTATATGATAACTAAAAATCACATCATTAATACCATCACTAATCATTAGAAAAGTCTTTCAGGTATCTGAAAGCCGTCCGGCTCATAGTGGCAGAAACGAATTTTCCAATCTTCAATTTTTCACTTGATGCTCAAATTTTATCACTAGCAAGAGATACTGCCAGTTGTTTTCTTTGACATAACAGGTTTGTTTTGTTCATTTTCAAGAAAACACCTTCCAAATACTCAAGTCTGAATAATTATGGTTCATATGTCAGTCATTCCTTTTATTTTTTCCACTCTTTTTTTCTTTTTCCACCCAAATCTCATCTTGAAATTTTTTTTTTTTTTGAGACAGAGTCTCACTCTGTCCTCCAGGCTGGAGTGCAGTGGCGTGATCTTGGCTCACCGTAACCTCCACCTCCTGGGTTCAAGTGATTCTCCTGCCTCAGCCTCTGGAGTAGCTGGGACTACAGGCACCTGCCACCATGCCTGGTTAATTTTTGTATTTTTAGTAGAGACAGGGTTTCACTATGTTGGCCAGGATGGTCTCTATCTGTTGACCTCATGATCAGCCCACCTCAGCCTCCCAAAGTGTGGGGATTACAGGCATGAACCACTGCGCCCAGCCGTCAGTCATTCTTTTAAATTAAAATGGAGGCCAGGCACAATGGCTCTCACCTGTAATCCCAACATTTGGGAGGCCAAGGCAGGCATATCACCTCAGGTCAGGAGTTCGAGACCTGCCTGGCCAACATGGTGAAACTGCGTCTCTACTAAAAATACTTAGCCTGGCGTGGTGGCACGCACCTGTAGTCCCAGCTACTCAGGAGACTGAGGCAGGAGAATC